TAATCTGTAAATTAATTTTATTTCTGCAAGCAACCTGGAGGGGCTGAATTGGTAGCAATTGTCAGAGGTTATTATTGCTCTGCGTAAAGTGTATTCCAAAAGAAAGCTGCAAATGGTTGTTTTTTTTCGTTTGAAGTGTTATTTACCCCAGCTTTGAAATTATAATTAATAAAGACATAAAAAATGATGATCCATTACAGTTGCGGACCCAGGAATTTATTTGAGAGGGGGCGAAAATAAAATAAATAATATTTCTCCAGGAACTGATGAAGTGAAGCCTTCCTAACAATTGACAGATCTGTACAGAAAGGAAATTCATGATCAGAAAAACATGATCCATTACACAAAAACATTCTTTTCAGTCATCTTAAATATTAGTGAGCTTAAGAAATTACCACAAACAACAGGTATGGATGACGCTTGAGGGTGCTCATGAATCGAGTTGGATCTAGTACTAGGGATGATATTCACACTTGGAATAACTGGAGTACTTGAATCAACAAGAGTTCTGACCAAATTTGAAGGAAATGAAGGCTGGCTCTGTGTGTAAGTGTAAACAGAGTTGTTCTGGCTTTGGAAGATCCCTTTGCTGGTAAAGGATATGAGCTCATTTGCTTTGTCAGCAGGAAAATCATCAAATACAATTACTTGGCTGGCATAAAAGATTGTCAACTGTGCAGCTTTAGGTCCCTTGGTCTAAATAGTCATAAAGAGAAGTTGGAGATTTAGATATTTGAAACTCTATCAGGATTAAATCAATAGCAGTTGTGAACTAGTTTGTAGTCATTACTCAAAAAAATTTCCACCTGTTAATTGACTTCAAAACAAATTAAAGAAGCAAAACAACTCACTTGGAATTGATCAAGGTTTGAATCTCTTCTGCTGGTAAATGGGGACGGTAGGCAGCTTGTGGAGAGAGCAAATCTATAGCTGTCAGGTTCAAAAAAAAATCTCTAAAGAGAAACCTCACAAAAGCATAAGAAAGATTAACCCTGTTTTTATACTGATGGGGACAAATATTTAAATTCAACAATTTAGGAGGAAAAAGAAGGGGGGGGGGGGGGGGGGGGGGGGGGAGCAACCCTAACCACCCTAGTAGGTCCGCCCCTTATCCATTGTTAAGTCAATTACCGTACTTACCATCAGATAATGCTTATTGTTAGTGGCAATAAAAAAGCCGATCTTGGACCTCCTCCTAATAGCCTAAACATTTGGGAGAGTTGGTCTTTGACATGTTATTATAGCTTTCTGATCTAGCTGTTAGGAGTTTGATTCATGTTGTCCCCATTCTGTATAATTAACTCGAATTTCAGTACAAGGTAAAATGGGCCTGTGCATTGCTACAGTTCAACACTCAAAGGACTCTTGCTTGAAGGAGCAAGTTAAAAATAAAAAACTAATCTCAGGCCCCCACTTGATAGCTTATGTTTTTTGGAGAGTTGGTTTTGACAGTGTAAAAAAAAAAAAAAAGATAGACACACTTATATTTATGGGAAAACTTCAAAAAAACCCCTATAACTTTTCTCATAATCATTTATCCCCTTCCCAAAATTTTGAATCATTTACCTCCCTGACTTAATTTTTTTTTATCATTTATCTCCCTAAGTGAGGTGGGTAAATGATAAAGAAACTTTAAATCAGGGGGGTAAGTGATAAAAAAAAAATTAAATAGGGGTGTAAATGATTCAAAAATTTTGTGAGGGGGGTAAGTGATAATTGAGAAAACTCATAGGGTTTATTTTTAAGTTTTCCCTATATTTATTGATTCTCCCTGTCTGCCTCCCATTTAGATTTTATACTTTTTATTTTTTGGCAAGGGATTCCTTCTGGATATTTCTTTTCCTCATGGGCTAGTACAATGTACATGCGAGTGGTACATTGTTTTCTTATTAGGATTCAACATGTTATATTGTTATTGCTGTGCAGCCTGTGCTATGTTATTTGATTCAGCTTCAACTTTTTTCATTTAATTTTTTTATTATGATTTTTTTGTTTGTTTTGGTAATACTTGATGCAGGGTCTTGATATTTACAACTCAAAGCAAGTGAGAGACAAACAAATAGCACGGGTTATTGGAAAGGTGTGCTTATTCAGTTCTCTTTACTCCTCTCACCCTTCTATCTCTGATATACGTAATATGTAGGTTATTCAATTATTTTGATTGCTTCTCACACTGGTTTTACAGCTTGTCTCTTGTGAGATTTTGTACAGTAGCCATGCAACTCCATGATTATTTGCAATATGTTCTACATGTTTATTGCAATATTATAATTATTATTGCTTTGACTGCAGATAACAACAATTGCTGCTGCGATTTATCTTAGAATGGCAGGAAGGCCACCTGTGCTTCCATCCAACCACCTGTCTTACACAGAGAACTTCCTATACATGCTAGATTCTTTGTATGTCTTATGGTATTTTTAGGCCTGATTGATAATTGGAATTAAGACAAACTTGTCCTTTTTTTTAATTTATTTTTTCTTCATAGCTTACTGATGGTTTGATCTTTGCTCTCAATAGAAAAAATCCAATTTTTTTCAAAAGAACTAAAATTTAATCTTGGATGATAGAGTACCTACATACTAGCTGCTTCTTCTTCTTTTTTCTTAAGAGTTTAACACAATTAAAATCTCCACTGTGCATGCTTTCAGAGGCAATCGGTCATATAAACCTAATCCTCAGCTAACTCGAGCACTGGACATTATCTTCATTCTGCATGCAGAACATGAAATGACTTGCTCCACATCTGCTGTCCGACACCTTGCGTCAAGGTAGACATCTTACAGCAATTCTACTCAATCAACGTAAAGCAGTCAATCTGACATTGCTTGGCTGTTATTCTATTTTAGTGGCGTTGATGTATACACTGCTATTGCTGGGGCTGTTGGAGCTCTATATGGACCTCTTCATGGTGGTGCTAATGAGGTAACTATAAGTAGTTAATGAAGCTGTCGTGTTCTTTTATGTACTGCTTATCTTGATGTAGTGAGTAAGCACAACCACATTACTTTTATTTAATATGTGAGCATGCTAATGTGACCGTTGATTCTACAGGCTGTCCTCAAAATGCTGAGTGAAATTGGAACTGTTGAGAACATACCAGAGTTCATTGAAGGTGTCAAAGCCAGGTGGCTATTACTTTCTTTTTGTTATATAGTTCTTACTTTTTGCCTCTTTGTTATACCCTGGAAGTATAGCGTAATGCCTTGATCTTGTTGCCTCCTCTTTTGGAGGTCTCATTGCAGCAAGCGGGGGAAATAGTTTTACTTGATATTCTTGTTTTGTGTGTTTCCTCCAGGAAACGAAAGCTCTCTGGTTTTGGACACCGAGTTTACAAAAACTATGATCCCAGAGCAAAGATCTTAAGAAAACTGGCAGAAGAAGTGTTTTCCATAGTTGGCCGGGATCCTCTTATTGAGGTGCTTATTTATTTTGTAGTCACTGTCTATGTCTTGCCTATCTGTTTATATTCCTTAAATTATGCTGGTCATGAGTGGGAGTGTAGATGAGTTGAGCTATCCATGAACTATTCGAGCTCAACTCGTTAAATGCTTCGATTAAGCTCGTTTGTTCAACTAAGCAACATGCTCAAGCTTAAACTTAAGTCATTCAAAATCTCCAGCAACTTTTTTTGTTTTCAAATTTAAAGAATTATTTATGGTATCTGAATCTGACACTACTATTATAATATGCTAGGAAAACATCTTCTGCTTAATTTAATGTTTATTTGGTTCAGCATATTTAGTTAAACTTTAAAAGTTCTAACTTCTCTACGCAATTATTTGATCGTTCAGGTTGCTGTTGCGTTGGAGAAGATTGCACTATCTGATGAATTTTTCATCAAGAGGAAGCTATATCCAAATGTTGACTTCTACTCTGGATTAATTTATAGGTAATCTATTATTACATCCAGTTATTCTAACTAGGGAGGATAAAAATATGTTGCTTCCTCCAGAACATCATACAAGGCTTGAACTAATGGTTTAATGCAATCAGGGCTATAGGATTTCCAGCTGAGTATTTCACAGTACTATTTGCTGTCCCTCGAATGGCTGGGTACTTGGCACATTGGAAAGAGTCCTTGGATGATCCTGATACAAAGATTATGAGACCTCAACAGGTGACTTCCTTTCTTCAAATCATTTCTCTGATTATGATTTTCTTGCGTATTAAAACTATATCATAATTATAGTTAGCTATAATTTGCCTGTATGGCTGTGCATGTTATGTATCGTTTGGTTTACTACTTGTACCATGGCTGCATTATACATTTCTTAAGACTGGTTCTTGGAAATATTTGTGTAATGCATCAGAACGAAATCCATTTTATGTTTCAGGTTTATATTGGAGAATGGTTGCGGCATTATACACCAATCAACGAAAGGAATGTATCAAGTGATGCTGACAAACTTGGTCAGTTGGCAATATCAAATGCTTCAAAGCGACGGCTTGCTGGATCGGGGATATAGCCTGTAGGCTCAATATATGCATTTGTCAGTGACATGACCAAAAGATGATATATAATTCTCAAGAATGTACTGGGAGAAAATAATTTGTGCATCGCTTTTTATTACCTAAAGTTCAATTTCCCATGATCAGGATGATGCAAGGGGAGCATGTCCTGCATAAATAACGCAACTGGTATTCAATCCATACCAACCGGAAGAATGATGCTGGTAGGATTTGTTGTTCCAGCGTGCAAGTAGTATACGAGTCGCTCGTTCTACCTTTAAACTGTGTTTTATTAAAGTTAATACGGGGGTAAATTAATAGACAAGCATACTTCAGAGATCTCATAGGTGGTAATATGTATAATTGATCTGCAAATGAATTTCTGGTGCTTGTTTGTGTTAAAGCATTAGACCAAATTTTCTGTGTACTAGTACGAATTCTATCCTTTTTCGTTGGGTGCACTAGATATTTTTCAGCCTATTTTTTTTTTCAATGCTTCATTGGACTTTGTAATCTAATAAGTAACAGGAAAAATCTATTTTTTTAATATTCTATTACAAATACTGTAAAAATATTAACTTACATAAGAGTTTTGTACTAAATACATGATGTTAGTAATTAGTATATATACTATCTAATGTTTGGTCCATCCGGTGTAATTGTTACGAGACGGTAGCTCTCTTCTATATCAACACGTGAGGTAGAGGAATCAGTATATGTACTATGTAGTGACATGCTTTGTGTTCTACTTGGATTCTGCCAGAAGTGAATACTTTTATATTTGGAATTGGAACTAGGAGCTGAATATCCCGGATCAGAAAGTAGATCATGAATGTCAGTCCAACCTTCAAGCATGCTCACGACTTGGGACATTGTTGGCCTTAGGGTAGGAGATGCATTAGTACATAAAAGAGCCACATTTAGCATCACCATGACCTCCTCAGTTGAATATTCTGAACTCAAACCTGGATCAACCAGCTCCAGAAGATTTCCTCTCTCTTGCAAAACATAGGCCTGAAAGAAACTCAAAGGTTAACTATAAATAGGACATTGTTCCTAAGACCAAAAAATGAATATCCAATCTCTAAGGAAGAATCATGAAAAAAGTTCCCAATCAATTCAAATTACCCAATCAAGAAGATAAACAAATTCCTCGTTCGGCATGTAATTTGTATTGCTCTTTCCGCTGACAGTTTCCAATGCAACTACCCCAAAACTATAAACATCTGCTTTATCAGTTAAATAGCCACGCATTGCATACTCAGGAGCCATATAACCACTGCAGATTATATATAAAAATTATGATTATTGAGAAAAAATAAATTGAAGCAGGTTATGACATACTAGGTCAAAATAAAAGCATTCAGATAATATTTATGTTAGATATAAACTATTCTAGAGCCTCCACCTACAACTTAGTATAGGAAAATCGATACTTGAATGAGAAGTTTGGTCCATGCTGCCTGTATGCTTCTAATTTAATTATAATTTCAGCATGACATTTAGTGGACGTGTTTTCTTCACACTTCAAGCCGAAAGAATTTTTTGCATGAAAGGACATACTAGATATATAGGCCATTACTGCTTATTGTTTTAGGATGATTGGTCCTTGACAATATAGACTTTATTATTCATTTTTCAATTTTCATGACAAACAGGTGGTGAAGGCTCACTTCAAACCGTTAAGAAGATTACGATACCATGTTTTGACTTGGAAAATAGAAGTAATTCATGATGAACTTACATTGTTCCTGCAATTCGAGTGCTAACATGAGTTTTGTCATCTTCAATAAGTTTTGCTAAGCCAAAATCCGAAACTTTAGCATTAAAATCCTTGTCGAGCAACACATTACTTGTTTTTATATCCCGGTGAATGATTTTTATTCTGGACTCTTCATGGAGATAAGCCAGAGCTCTAGCTATGCCAAGGCAAATATTCTTCCTGGTTGGCCAGTCTAGTTTCGTTCTTCTGTTTGGATCCTTTCCTATATGTCATTGAGAGAAGAAAAATCAATTAGTTGGTCATATTTTTGATTCAAATGGCAAGTATGGCTAATGTCATTAATTATGAAGCTTACCAAAAAGAATGCGAGATAGACAATTATTTTCCATATACTCATATATCAGTATTAGCTGGTTTCCCTCCACACAACATCCATGAAGCTTAACAAGATTGGGATGCTGAAGTCCAGATAGCATTCCTATCTCATTCACAAACTCACGGTTTCCTTGCTTAGATTTTGAAGAGAGCTGCTTTACCGCAATTACTGTACCATCTGATAGTAGTCCCTGCAACATGAACAAGGTATATTTTTGTCTTGCATTACAATTACATAGTTACACATATTTTTAGTGCACATAGAAAACATCAAGCACGTAGATTAATTAGCACAAGTTGTCCTAGTTTAACCCGTGGTCTCGAGTATGAGTCTTGAGTATATAACTGTGTTAAAAACTTAATAGGAAGAGTTTTGCACCTACGTGATCTTATCCGGCTCGACAAATGTAGTCAAGAACTAGATGAATTGGTGGAGAAATATCCAAAAAAATGCAGATAGGTTAACCGGAGATCTCGAGTTTGAGTCTTTGAAATGGAGAAATTGGTATTGGGAGAGCCACCACCAATATGAGTATGACCATAGTGGTTAAAATCCCGATTTAAATCTGCGGATTTTACGAATTTTTATTAATCAAAATGATTTCATCAAAATTCCAAACTCTTTTACGTTTTTATGATTTTTTACAAGTTTTTTTACGTTAGGATTTTACATTTTACGATTTTTTATCCTTTTTCCGGTTTTAGATAAAATCCCGATTTTAACTACCATGGGTATGACAGTGGGCAAATCCCGGTACACAAGGCTTCCCGACTTGTGAGAATAGGGGGAGAGTTGATTGTCTTACCTTTGCGTTTTGCAAAGAGGCTGTTTCTTAAACTCAAATCCATGACTTTCCAATCCCAAGGAGCAACCTTACCGTTGCTCCAAGGCTCGCTCTCCTCAACATGGGTCCAATAGTGCTTGAACCGAATTAAAAAATTAGTGCATATAGGAATCTCCATTACACTTCAATCAGTATGAATTTCAAGAGTTTTTCTCTTTCACTAATGAGTACAAATATATAAGAGAAATTTTTATTATCAAATTTAAATCGTATGGAGATATGGATACCATAGATTGTGTCTGGTATTTCAATTCAACTAACATATAAATTAACCATAAGACAGAATAGGTAACCGGGAATGTAAACTTGAGAAAGATCAAAATACCTTGTAAACAGAACCAAAGCCACCTTCGCCAATTTTGTATGCTGCATCAAAGTTTTTGGTTGCTGCTTTGATTTGTCTTAAAGTAAATAATCCCATTTGCAGATCTATACCCTTAAGCTCTGGAAAAAAAATTGGAAATTTGGATTCAACAAGAATATAGCTTTCTCTACAATATGTCACCATATTTATTTTTATTTCATTTCCATCAAGCTTATAAATGTAAAGGTTGTTCAGGTATGCTCTCCTATGTTCTCCTAAAGTCTTGACTTTGGTGAAATGAAAAAATGTCATCAATATCAAATCTTACATAGAAGCAAAATATTACACTGAGTTTGAATAAATTTTGTAAGATAATTATTTAGTACTAATTATAGAAGAAGCTTAAGCAAATACTGCATGGATACAAAAAGAAGCATGCTATGTTGACAACAAATGAAAATATTTATTCTAAATAAAAGAACCGGAAAAACTAGGTATCATATTCCATACCTTTATACACTGGGTCCTTGCCTCCTAACCATCCCATTCCCCACACGATAGCTAGCACCATAAGAACAACTACAACACCTGCGACTACGCCAACTGCCAGTATGACATAAGTTCTGTAGCCATCCTCAGAGGGAGGTTTAAAATCTGCGCAAGGGAAAAAGTATTTATAGCTTTTGAAGAATGAACAAAAACAAACAAGAGAAGAGGTAGACATAAAAGGTAATCTTTCCCTTTTCCTACATATTTTAATTTCTTTTAATACCAATTAGTACATCTAAACAGAAGATAACAAACAACAACTTTGTCCAAATTGATTTTCTTTCTTATATTACTTGTCAGCTAGAGTTTTCAATTTTTAGTTTGGCATGCAGAACCTTAATCAAGTTTCTGATTTACATTACACTTGCTAAACTCTGCTAGATATTAAAGGGAATAAGATCCCTTTTCAAATATGATGCTCAATACAACTATGATCATTTTAGTTATAGATAGACAAAAAATATGTATCAGGTCAGGGTTTGTTGTGGTTAATAAAAAAATGATGATAATGCCAAAAGCTGGATGATCAAGATATTTATGCAGAACAATTCATAATGCCAAATTATGATTGCAAATCAAACTCCAGTCTCTCTCAAGCTTGGGCTTATCAAGTCAAACAAAGCACCAACACTAAGATACAAGATATGACTTACTAGGGTCTACTGAAATAGCAGATACTAAAGGTCCATAAACTCCTCTTGTGGGTATGCCAGTGGTTCCCTTTCCAGCCCAATAAAAGTGAATCTTCAAAGTATGTTGTGTGACAGTAGCATTAAATGTCTTCACAATTGGCTTGCCAGTACCACCAGCTTCGTTTTGGATATTAAAGTCTTTCAGCACCAATTCCCCCTTAATTTAAGCACATAACAATATATTACATCTACTTCAATGCACAACTCAGTGCGAATCAATTATTTAGCATTATGTATAAATCATTGAAGTAATAGTTACCTGGACGTAGACATCAAATACCCGCCTGCCAAGACTGTTATATGACCTATCATTTATGTAAATAATTTCTGCAAAGTGGAGCTTAACAGTGTAATTTCCGTTTATTAGACAGAGGCCATAATATGTGAGAGCAAGCGGAGAAACACGAGCTGTTGTGTACAGTTCTGAATTGAGTACCGAGACACTATTAAGTCTAGAAGTATTGACCACAATATAGGAATCAGAGTCAATATCATTGTCCATGAAGTTCCCAGTGCTACTAAGAGCCCAATCCTGACCAGGGTAATATAACATTGAAGCACCTTTTTGTTCTCTATCAGCTTCATAAATATTACCACTAATATTTGCTTCATTACCACCACAATTAATGTGCATGGAGTAATGATCTGTCAAAAAAACAAAGCCAAACATGATTGAACAGAAAGAATACTCAAGGCAAAATCTTTCAAATAGTAATGGCTAATTGAAAAGATAGAAGCATAAAAAGGTAAAATTCACAAAGAACATACCATAGTTTGTATTTAAAATTTTGAGATTTTAGTTCAGTCACATGAATTTATTTAATAAGATGTCAATAGAATCATGGAATAGTTCTGATAAACAAAGACATCTGAATTATTTTGTTTCTTAGAATTAGTCAAACTTTTTCTATACCAAATAAATAGGAGGAAATTAATCTTAACCTCTTGGGAAAATAAAAAAAGATATATTCTTCTTTAGTTCATAATGGACATTATCCATCCCACTTTATTTTGATTTTAATTGTACTATGAGAATAAGATATTAAGTAAAGAAGCAGGCAATAATCATAAGCAAAATCATGTTATATATATTTTGCTAAGTAATCATGTTCAGTTGAGAATTTTTCATCAATTTATTTCACTCAATTTCTGGTAACAGAATTTGAATCACTATTTAAAGCAGCGTATCATATAAAAGTAATTTAAAATTTGTAGTACTGGGGCAGACACTTACATTTGCTAACCGAAGCAGGGCATGGAAAGTTTCTTTTTAGGCATGAATGAATCTTACTTCTGCAACAGAATGAAATTTAAGGTTATATACTAGAGCTGCTACCATAGACCTTATTTTACAGAAAATTCATCAGAAAGCAAAAGGTGAGAAGACTTCATATTCCAAGAACAAAAACTTACTGTGGATCCGCAGATGAGGAGTAGCTCTCGACAAGGTTTCTGGAAAAATAACAAAATTTTGTTGCAATGATAACTGATAAATAACACTCATTGAGGACAACTAGAACTCAAAGCTTAAATAAAACTTACACATTCCCTCGTTGACATTCAGTTGGACTTGAGCTATCCCAGGCGAAGTTATTGTAAGAGAAATCACTGTGCACCAAAACATATACTAAAAAATGTTTATCTCACGTTGCTGCAAGAGTCGTTATTTAATTTCAGTTATATAATATATTAAGTTTATCCAGACATCAATAGATTGAAGTTAATAGAGAATATAACACATCCAACTATATTTTTTTCATCATATTTTGAATGCTCTAAATGGATTTATTGAAAATTTATTTCATGACAGTATCCAACCGCGTCATTTAATCATTGTAGTAGTAGTTGTTCTATTCTCAATGCTCTCAAACATAAGCATAAGCATAAAATTGTTTCTGGGTGCCTTATTCACTGTGGCTAGTGAAGCAGACATTAAGTTGAAAGATTGAAAATTGAATCATAACTATTCAAGGAATTTAACATACATATTTTTGTTAATCGCAAGGACCCAACCAGGTATAGACCCTGTCAGCTTGTTCCCAATAAGATACCTGCATTATTTAACAACAAAATTTTTCATCGGAAATGAAAATAGATAGAGATGTTGGAATCACACGTTTCATTCAATCTATCCACTTACATGTAGTCCACTTTGTCAAGTTGGTTAAAAGATCCAGGTATCTTTCCACTCAAGCCATTGAAACTCAAATCTCTACAGCAACGGAGATGTATAAATGAACTTGTTTTATATAAGAAAAGGGTTAATTGGAAAAATTGAAGGCATTTTATCTTCAATTTTAAGATGGATAAAAAGAAAAGCATGTTCTACATTTTCGTGTGCATGCAGTGTTTATTAATTGTCTTTATAATCTTCCTCCAGCAATCACAAATTTCTGTGTTATGGAAACAATGTGATATGGTAATCGTGTAAGCAAGGTCTAATTTTAGAAGTTCAAGGGACACATGGGTCAATAGAGCAACAATCATTCAATTTTGATAAATTAATCTATACAGAAAAGACATATGACATATCTGTTTTAGACATTTTTATATATATTATAAATATGAATTTCAACATAAAGTAGATTCATAGGACGAGATGAGAAGATAACTTATACCGAAATTACTAGTTGATGCAAACCCCTGCTAACTTTCTATATCTTAGACTTACGCAAACTACTTTGAGTTGGTCAGAAATAAGATCAAGGTAGATAAATTGTTCTGTTCTACACACTATTTCACAGATTTAGAGCTATTCTAGATAAGGACCAAGGAGAAAATAATTTAGCTGCTTTCATTTTTCTGTTTTTAAACCACAATAAAACTACTTACAAGATTTTCAGTTTTTCCATTCTCCCAATATATTCCGGGATCTCTCCTTTAATCAAGCATTTTCTCAGTATCCTGCATTGTGATATCCCAGTAAAATATACATCATTTCAAAAATACTTAAAAGAGAAAGAGAGTATTTAAGTCATTGAACTCACAGTGTCTTCATGGATTTCATATTACTTAGTGGTGGGAAAGCAGAGCTTCTATTGCCTTTCAGGTCAGTTATTCTCCTAAGTATCAAAGAAAAAACAAAAGAATCACTTGACATATCCATCTTTTATGATCAAAAAATAAAATACAATAAAGTATTACAAGCATACAAATCGGTTAATCTTGTCAAGGCAGAAATGCTAGAAGGTATGGGGCCCTCAAGAGAGCAACCATGAATGTGCCTGTAACTCCAAAAGAAAAATTGATATAATAAACTACAGTATATACAACAAATACAATTAGAAACAACTAGGTTGGAGGCTTACAGCTTTTCAATCAGTGTCAATTTACTAATGAAATCAGGTATCGTCCCAAAGAAATTATTGTCGCCTATCCTCCTAAAATGTGTTTTGGAAATATTAGTCAATATGCAAAGAAATGTCAAAATTTGAATGAAACAGCAAACAAAAAGCATTAGCAATATATTGAGCTAGCAAATGTATAGTTTTGTAGCTCGTTATAGGAATTAATTTAGAACCCTGCAGTGACTTGTATTTACAAGCTCAGTATCCTACATTTAAAAGGATCCAAGTGGTTCATCCATCTATTCCCATCAGATTGTAACCATGGGCTAGAAGATGCCAAAGTTTGTTGATTCAATAATTTATTTATTGTGGATATTAGATGAATTAAAATGATAAGAAAGCCAAGACTTACAAATCAGTCAACTTGGTCAACTTGGAAAGTGCGGATGGAAATGCTCCAGTGAATGCATTTGATGATAGAATGCTAAACAAACATGATTTGTTCATGTTAAACACTAAGAATAATGTTAAGGGTAAAATAACAGCAGATATTGTGATTCCAATAGGCAGACAAAGAAGGGCAAAAGAATTACAGTTTTTCTAAATTGATCAACTTTTCAATCTCTGTTGGAATGAAGCCTGAAAATAGATTTCCTTCAATACTCCTGTAACATTCACATAAATATTTTTATTTAAACAAAGCAGCAGAAATAAATTAAAAATTATACTAAGCTGGCAATTGAATTTATTATTATGTTGAGTGACTGAATTTCAATGAATACGTGTGATCATAAACACAGTTTATCCACTTACAGGTTTTTGAGGGTTGTGATATTGGTTAGAACTGTGGGAAATGGCCCTGACAATCTGTTTCCCATGAAAGAGCTGCATATTCAATAGACGAAACTCTTTAGGGTCACTATTAAGTTGTTTACTAACTTTACTTATAGAGAAGAAATTTAAGAGGCAATGCAGAGAAACAAAGGGTGCATAGCAGAAAGTTCTTACATCTCAACTAAGCGCATGGTAGCCCATTGTTGAGGTATAGAACCAGTGATGATGTTACGACTAAGGTCCCTGTTTGAAATAGCAAGACAAAAGTTAGTTAGTTTTAACATTCCATATGAATATATCGATGCTATGGGAACATCATGCATATCAAACTATCAAAGAATCATAGATTCAAAGACAAGGTTTGGTTATCTTACAATAGTTTAAGATAACGAAGCTTTGAAAACTCTGATGAGAGAGTACCAGACAGATTCTGAGCCTTCAAGGATCTGTTCATATGGAATATGAAATTAAAGACAAAAAATTAGAATTAACACAATTACTGCAAGATATTCAACCAATAAACAAAACAGAACAAGAAAATGAGAAAAAAAATCTTACGAATTCCAAATCTTATACTACTTTTGTACACAAAATTAGGAAGTCCTCCCGAACAAATTTAAATCTGAAAAAAGTTAACCAAAGTATAATTTATAGTTATTTTAATTCAATTACCTTTTTATTGTTGAAATCCAAATATCTTGTGTTCATATAAAAAAACAAATTATGTTATGTACTAAAAATAAATTTGTGCTTAGTAAATAACTATTCCTTCTTTGAATATAAATTAATCATTATTTCCTATTTAAAAAATAATTAATCATTTTTTACTAAACACAAATTCTTTTTATTAAAAAAATAAAGACAACATTTTGATGTAACAAAAAAAATACTTCGAAGCAAAAACATAAATGTAGGACCACAGATGAAAATTAAAAATTAAAAGAAAACAGACAAGATAAAAGAGAGAGAGAGAAAGAACTTCCATTTTATACAACCCTCAGACAAAAAAAGAAAAAGGAATGGACAGCGCATCCTTTTCAAAGTCAAAGATTTGCAATTTGCATCGGGTTGTACAAAATTTCAAACTTCATTATTGTTTTTAATTAAGTTTAAAACCTCATTCTCATTCAGACCAATGAGGCACTTTGTCATGCCACAAATGTGTATGATTTAGATTAGGATTCGCGAAAATAAACTTTCTTAGGGGGGAAGAATATGCATAATCACTAGAAATATCTTAAGTAAAAGGAAATGCTGTAGAAAAAAGTTATTTAGCCTTCATTTGTTTCTTTCTTTCTTTCTTTTTTTTTCAATTAACGAAGTTCATGGAATCCAAAGAAGACAAACATGAATTTTTCACCGAGCAAGTTAAATCCAAAGAAAGAAAGTGCACTTTGCTCTCTCTTTTTGGTTTGATGGTAACTTGGAAGTGTCTGTAGTGAAAAAAAAGATTTGACTCAAAATGCACGTGAAGAAAAATGAACCCAAAATTGAAGAAAATCCTGTTCCTGAACGTGATTCCATGTGATTTTGCTGAGTTGTTGAAAACAAGAAACGAGACTGGAAACAGAAAGAGGAAGGGGAAGAGAGCATTACATGCTTACAACATGGCAAGAAGAATTGTGATTGAAGGAACAATCACACATCACAGAACTCTCAAAGCCTTTCCTATTATTATCAGACCCATTCCAGTTCCCTTTTCCACTGCAAGGGTCCACCCCAAAGTCCCAATCTTTCTTCCCAATTTTCCTCCCTATCTCTTTCAATGCCTTCACTGCACAACACAAATCAAAAAATTATAGATCAGAGGGAAAATAAATACATCCAAATGAATTAATATCAACAAGTATGTATAAGAGATAGTTGAAACATGTGCACAGAAGCTATGAAGAAACAACCAATTTGTGATTGTCTTCCCAGTCCAGGGAACAAAAAGAAAAATAATTTGTAGCTCTCTTTTACAATAACAAATTTGGTCAAAGAAAAATAAATAAAAGGAAGTTAAACTAGTACAAGTAAAGGAGTGTCTTTTACCCTCTTCAGAGTTGAGCTTAGGTGTGGCTGCAGAAGCCAAGTGTGAGAGTAAAATGAAGGAAGTCGAACCAAGGAGAAATAAAAAGAACATCCTTGAATAACCCGAATTGTGCTCCATGAAACTGTTTTTCACTTTGGTTGTTCAAGCAGAATAGGAGAGAGGGGAGTGGGGAAACTATTTAATCAGATTCAGTCATTCAGATGAGAATGGACAAGGAGATATTGCTAGCAACTGTACTTTGGTCTTAGATTGCAAAATGCATGTGATTGTAAATATAAAATATGCAAAACCCAATATGGTCTTTAAATGCAGAATACAAAGTTGCAACTTGCAAAAAGGAATAAGATTTAGAATCTTATTGGTTCGGAAGTGTGTGGGGTACTTCAGTTGTTAATGAAATAACTCAGTTTCTATTTTAGGGTTCCAACATTAATTATGGAATTGGGATGGGATTTGATTTGTGACGTGCTATATCTCGATAGAGACACAAATACGCGTTAGTACTATTTTTAACAAAATAATTATGTAAAAAACAGTATATTAAATTATTGTAAGATTCTATTTGTGAAGGAGAAAAAAATCGTACTTAACTAAGTTGATGAGATGCATTAATAAATATAACATTTACTCTTAAATTATTATTTACTTGAGTATAAAAGTAATTTAACTTCTTCTAGTGCTTAATATTACAACGTCTTCTAGTGCTTAATATTACAATAGGATAAAAAAAAAATTCTTTTTTTTGGATATCAAAAAAAAAATTTCTAACCAAGATCTAATTTGGTAAAGGAAAATATGTTTCTTCAGCTATAAAAAAGAAGAAGTTATCTGCAATAGTTATATGTTTTTTCAGGATACGAAATTGTATTCTAAAAAATATGTGTTAGCTGCTGCAAAGAACGGGATATTAATAGAATCTTTTGTTAAAACTAAAAAATATAGAAGAATATGTCTCTTCAATCGCAGAAAAAAAAATATCTGTAACTGACATATGCTTTTCAGGATACTGTTTCGTATCCTGAATTTTTTTTTTTAAGTCTCCCAATATATAAAATTATATCCTGAAAAATATATATCAACTCCAAATAACTTTTCTACAGCAATAACAAATTAATAGCGCCCAAAAATGTATAATATTAGTAAATCCGGAACCACTTGTGACTTGTGGTCATTTTAAAACGTACAGTCAGGAGTAATGAAATCATTCTCTCCATGAAATTCTTGGCTTTATGCCTTTGCAACGGTAATTCAGCCAGTTCGATAACGTCAAAGTCTTAACTCTTCAGGTCAATAAATTTCATCTAATAATAAAGAATTTAATTAATTTATATTAAATTATAGAGTAAATATTATTTTTGGTCCGCAGCAAAATTTCATGATATCCACTTTAGTCCCTAGCAAATAAAAAAATTATTCATAATCCTTAAGAAATTTAGAATGGACTCATTTAGTATTCAAAAAAGATCCACATTAATTTCTCAAAAGAACTAAAATAGTTTCACTTTGAATTTTTTAATGACCACGAATAGCCTTTTTATTTGTTAGAGACTGAAATGTGCATCATAAAATTTGCTGGCCAAAAAGAATATTTATTCTAAATTATATATTCAATTTTTAGTTGTATAAAAAAAAATTCTTGAAGTCTTAATGATCTTTTAGGACAGTGGGTTGAAGTCTAACCGAGGTTTTGATGGAGTGGGCATACCGCCCTAATTCGGATTTTTTTAATTATATTTAAAAAAATATAAAAATAAATAAATTATGACAGTGTTGTACGCATAGACATGCCACGTGCATTAGATATCCTATGATGTATTATCTTGGAAAATGTCACCTATATTTATCTTATATTATAAAAAAATAGTTATTTCATGTTATAAAAATAAAATTACAAGTAGAACTTATATGTAAGAGAAAAAAGAAACAAGAAATGTGAAACTCATCTTTATTTTGTATGTGTAGAAAATTTATTTATCTTATACAACAAAGATAAATATAATTCTAAAATAATATCATCGTTATAAATAAAAATTGTGAGCATCGTCATGCTAGCTTTCGCTTTCACAAAGGATGCTAGTCCAAATGACGTATTATAAACATCATTTGTTTTAGTACCTTTAATTAGCGCTAGCTTCATAGCAGCACCTACCCTTTGGCGTTGGCAGTATAAATGATTTTTTTTTTTAAATTAGTGTATTTTGAAAACTATTTCACTGTATAATATATTTTTTTCTTGATTTATGATTTTTTTTATTTGAATTGTGATCTCTGATTTAAAGGAATGGATGAGATATTCTATATGATCAGATCATATAAAATTTCCACATTGAGAAGATCCATTCATAACTCACATCAGCAAAAATTAAAATACTCAAATCCCACCTGAACTCCTAAGTCCTAACTCATCATTTCGTGTAATTAATTCATCATCGATTCCCATTACTGAATTTATTATTGTGATTCTCACTTATTTCTTGTAATAATTCACCATTTCTTTATTGATGGGAGTATTATTTCTGTAGTTGTGACAGAAATAATACTTATGTCACAGGCACAAAAAAAATTCTCTCTCATCCCTCCAAAGTATTCTCCGATTTCTCTCTCATTTCTCATTCTGTTTGTGAGAAGGAATATTATTTATGCACAAATACAGAAATAATACTCAATAAATAAATTATACTCCCTTTATTGATTGCCATTATTTAATTCTTTTTTTCGTCATTAATTATGATTACATGAGAAATTTTTTGGAAATGGATCATATCTCATTTGAAAAAAACATAACATGGTCATTATAAAAGATAGTAATCAAACCCCCAAGGGTAGCTCAGTTGGCAGCTGAGCTCCCAAGAGATTGCTTGGTGCATGGATCAAACCCTGCCTCAAGCAGTTTCTTGGAAAATCTTTGGGGGCCAGAGGATAAGCCAAAAATCTTTGGTTGGGGGATTAGTCTCGTCCTTTCTCCGGTTGCGAAGCTTAGTGCACTCACGCTCAAACGGGCCGTACCCCGAGGGCATGATGCCCGGAGAAGGTTGAATGGGGATACCTACTGACAATGTACCAAAAAAGAAAAAAAAGATAGTAATCATACAAAAATAAATAAGGATTATGATTTTATAAATTTTAATATTCTTTTCTCTCTCTTCCCAACAGTTATGACTTATGATTCCCTACTTTTTTTAGTCTTGCAATTAAATGAAAATTAATAAATAAATTTTTTTTATGCCAATCCTTAATAATTTAATAAAACTATACCTATAGTATAAGGATTTTATTAGTCTCCTTTTATATAAGATAATTATCTTATGTTATAGAGAGGAAATTGGTGGGTCCCACCATTACAAGAAAAAAAAAGGTGAGGTGCGAAAATCAAAATGAAAAAATATGAGAGAAATTATTTTATGTGAAAGGAGAATAATATTTTTCATTGTATAAATGGTATTATAATGTATATTAAGGTAAAAAAAAAAGTAAATATTTATGTAAGAGAAATCATTTGGTACTTGTTAGGTTGTGACTGTTATTATTATTTGTCTTTCTCATTTCTTATCTTTTCAACCCCAATAAAGTTATAAACAATTAAACACGATCTAGACCCGTACTAGATGGGATAAAGGATCCAATCGAATAATAGCCTAAAGACCTAAAAAGATAAGCTTAGTCAATAAGAAAACATGTACATAACACATACATGCAATCACGAAATCCACAATCACAAGAATGATAAGTAAGGGTGTAAATGAATAAGATAGTCTATTAGGGGCCTACGGCTCAGCTTACTTCAGGTTAGATTTGACCTAATATACTTAGTAAAATAAAATAGATTCAAATCTTTAAAAAAAGCTTGTTTAAAAAATAGGTTATAGGCTAACTCTTACAATGCTTGACCTACAAATTTATAAGACGACTTAAATGTCAGGTTTTTTATTTTTTTAATATAGGCCAGACTAAGCCTATAATTTAACTTACACCAGACTAATAAATTAGTTCATGTTCAAAATATTTTAGATAAGCTTAACCTATTTAGATCAAAGCTTAGTCTAGTACAAGAGAACCTATTTACACTTTTAATTAGAAGCCTCCTTAAAAACCAACAGCTACATAATAGGCACGGGTTCTACATATACCTAGGGATCATAGCCCACTAAAAAGCATCTCAGATAAGTTGACAAAGCTACTATAGTCTTCCAACGAGGTATGCTGCCATACTAAAGCAACATAACAAGACAACAAACAGGTCATGTCACTACTATAAAGTGAGGTTCAAAACCCAATTATGATTATCTTTTTCCAATTTACTTATGCTCATTATTCAAATACCAACTTAAACATCAAGAGTGCATTGCAGGTATCCACACCTATCTATCTTAGATAAACACACTTCAACGCGCATCATAATTACCATCTTGCATATATCATCCCTCCTAGCTAGTAGTTGATCCCGCATGTTACAACTATCCATTAGTAACTCACTTTAACCAAGCTCAACCATATATGATCAGATTCAATTCTTCTTCGACTAATCAAAAGACTATCACAATATGCAATTTAATATTTTCTTTTCCGTTCATTTCTCTTTAAAAAAACAAAAACTTAAAAATAATGTTATCAACACTTTTGCAAAATGTTAATTTAATTGAAATTTTGATAGTATTGAAAGACCAATTTTTTAATCTAAATTTTTTTAGAATCTAAAACTAATTATTTTATTTAAAGATAATAGAACTCTATAGACATTAATGTACATTATAATATTGTTTGTAGGGTGGTAATTCTCAACACGACGTGCTGACGCAATATGAACACGACATGGAAAATTTATGTTCGAGTCGACTTGTTTTCAAATTTGTCTAGTGTTTGTGTTGACAAAAATTGATTGAAAAAATTCATGTCGTGTCGTGTGTCAACCTACGAATCAAAAATTGGCATGCGTTAATCTTCTTATAGGTTATTATGTTATATCATGTCTTATTGTGTCGTGTCAACCCACATAATAAGTAACACAGTTTGGGAATGACAAATTGTTTGTGTCGTGTAAACCACATAATGAGCGACATACTATGAGTTTTTGGGTTATTCATATTGTGTTGTGTATGTTATTGAATAAGACATTTGAA